TTTATTTTTTATTCATGTTTTTATGACATTTGAAAACAAAAAAAGAAGAAGAAGAAAAAAAAAAGCTTCATGTATGATTCGAACTCTCTTCATAGCTCAGGTTTAGTCCAAGACCAACCGCTTTAACCACTACCGGTACGCTACGAAGTATATGCACTATTGACGTCTTTCAGTGTGATTTAAATGGACGGGTTTGTAACATTTCCATCATTTAAGCGTTCACGAAGAATGGAGACTTGACCCATTCATGTTCAAAATTCGTTTTTTATAGCTCTATTAAACCCATTTTCCACTAAATATGCTTAACTGTCAACTTTGAAATAAATATTATCAAATGATAAGTCGTTCAGAAAAATAAAATGATAAAATATTTTGAAGATGACATTACTGAGAACATGATTTTAGAAAAATATAGCTTTTTTGTGGATTTTGAAAATTGAAAAACATTTTGTCTCAGAGCGGGGGATTGTACACGCCTTATACGCCCTCTTTCAAAATACACATCATTTCGGGAGTAGTTCACACTGTTTTAAAAACGTTTGACAGAAAAAAAAGCTTATTACTCAAAAGTAACCCTTAAAAAAAATGAGTGAAAACGACTGCATATAAGAATATATGAACAATTATTAAAAATATCAGTAATTGTAGTTATCCACGTTTATTTGAATTTCAAACAGATAATGAAACTTGAATCTATTGCTTAAAACCCTCAAAACAAATTTACAATAAGATGTACTTGACAAAAAAAGCAAAGGTCTAAGAAGAGCAGAGAATTGCAAGAGCACAAGGATAGATTTATAGGCAATTTTCTTAAATATTAGTGGTCTTATTGTTCAAATTCGTATTCGGGGATGCAGTTTAATTTCTGGAGGAATCTAGAAAGCAATTTTTTGGCAAAAAATCAAAAGGTTAATGAGAATAAGGAATCCACAACATAAGATTTTTTCCATGACAGCGTCCAAACCCGAAAGCCCTGAAGAGTAAAGGAGTCTTGGGGATAAACAAAAGTTAATGTTCATTCACGTTAACAATATTCGCCAGATCTTTCGCCTTTTGACTTGTTCCATTTGCCAAACTTGAGAAAACGCCTTTCAGAAGGAAGAAACAAGTCCAGGAAATCATAGGATCTGCAATAATCCAGTATACAAAGGTTCATACCAGAAAATGAGTTCGAAAAACAATTGAAAATGAATCAGAAATTGGATAAAAATGTTACTTACATGTGTTTTAATGAAAAGATAATTTTAGGTTAAATCATTATAACTAAATTATTGAAAAGCGACTTTTGTTTCTTTCCGAGCACCGAAGACATTATTAAACGACCCTTGTATAAGGTGACCTACCGATGTACAATATCAGGTGTCCTCTGGTCCCCCTACTGATGTACAATATGAGGTGACCTCTAGTCCCCCTACTGATGTACAATATACGGTGACCTTTGGTCCCCCTACTGATGTGCAATATAAAGTGGCCTCTGATCCCCTTACTGATGTACAATACAAGGTGACATCTGGTCCCCCTTCTGATGTACAATATGAAACTGGAGTTTTATGAAGATTACTTTTCAATCCCTGACTTTTACAATTTATGACTTACATTATAAAATGTAAAAGTCAGTGTCTAATGTAAAAGTAAGTCTCATAAAACTTCATTAGTCCTCCTACTGATGTATAATATAAGGTGACCTCTGGTCCCCTTACTGGTCCCCTACTGATGTACAATATGAGGTGACCTCTGGTCCCCCTACTGGTGTACAATATAAGGTGGCCTCTGGTCCTACTGATTCACAATATAAGGTGACCCCTGGTCCCCCTGCTGATGTACAATATAAAGTGTCCTTTGATCTCCTTACTGATTGAGTGCAATATAAGATGACCTCTGATCCCCTTACTGATGAACAATTTAAGGTACCTCTGGTCCCCCTACTGATACACAATATAAGGTGACCTCTGGTCCCCCTACTGATGCACTATATAAGGTGACCTCTGGTCCCCCTTCTGATGTACAATATAAGGTGACCTCTGGTCCCCTTTTAATGTACAATGTAAGGTGACCTCTGGTCCCCCTGCCAATGTACAATATAAGGTGACCTCTGGTCCCCTGGTATATAAGGTGACCTCTGCTGATGATCAATATCTGGTCCCCCTGACTGATGTACAATATAAGGTGACCTCTGGTCCCCCTACTGATGTACAATATAAGGTGACCTCTGGTCTAATCCCCTGGTACAATATAAGGTGACTGGTGTGTACAATATAAGGTGACCTCTGGTCCCCCTTTTGATGTACAATTAAAGGTGACCTCTGGTACCCCTACTGAGGTACAATATAATGTGTCCTCTGGTCCCCCTACTGATGTACAATATAAGGTGGTTTCTGGTCCCCCTACTGATGTACAATATAAGGTGACCTCTGGTCCCCCTATTGATGTACAATATAAGGTGACCTCTGGTCCCCCTACTGATGTACAATATAAGATGACCTCTGGTCCCCTACAGATGAACAATTTAAGGTTACCTCTGTTCCCCCTACTGGTGAACAATATAAGGTGACCTCTGGTCCCCTTACTGATGTACAATATAAGGTGACCTTTGGTCTCCTTATTGATGTACAATATAAGGTGACCTCTGGTCCCCCTACTGATGTACAATATAAGGTGACCTCTGGTCCCCCTACTGATGTACAATATAAGGTGACCTCTGGTCCCCCTGCTGATGTACAATATAAGGTGACCTCTGGTCCCCCTTCTGATGTTAAATATAAGGTGACCTCTGGTCCCCTTACTGATGTACAATATAAGGTGACCTCTGGTCCCCCTACTGATGTACAATATAAGGTGACCTCTGGTCCCCCTACTGATGTACAATATAAGGTGACCTCTGGTCCCCCTGCTGATGAACAATATAAGGTGACCTCTGGTCCCCCTACTGATGTACAAGATAAGGTGACCTCTGGTCCCCTTAGTGATGTTCAATATAAGGTGACCTCTGGTCCCTCTACTGATGTACAGTAAAATATTAGGTGACCACTAGTCTCCCTTACTGTGTAAAATATCGGGTGACCTCTGGTCCCCTTACTGATGTACAATATAAGGTGTCCTCTGGTCACCCTACTGATGTACAATATAAGGTGACCCTGGTACAACTGACCTCTCCCCCTTACTGATGTACAATATAAGGTGACCTCTGGTCCCCTTTCTGATGTTAAATATAAGGTGTCCTCTGGTCCCGCTACAGATGTACAGTACAATATTAGGTGACCACTATTCCCCGTACAATATAAAATGACCTCTGGTCATCCTTCTGATGTTAAATATAAGGTGACCTCTGGTCCCCCTACTGATGTACAATATAAGTTGACCTAAGGTACCCCTGCTGATGTACAAATGTAACTTCTGGTCATCCTTCTGATGTTTAATCTAAGGTGACCTCTGGTCCCCCCTACTTATGTACAATATAAAATGACCTCTGGTTCCCCCTACTGATGTTCAATATAAAGTGAACTCTGCTTCTCCTACTGATGTACAATATAAGGTGACCTCTGGTCCCCCTACTGATGTACAATATAAGGTGTCCTCTGGTCCCCCTACTGATGTACAATATAAGGTGTCCTCTGGATCACTTATTGGTGTACAAAAAAAGGTGACCTCTGGTCCCTCTACTGATATACAGTACAATGTAAGGTGACCACTAGTACCCGTATTAATGTAAAATATCGGGTGACCTCTGGTCCCCGTACTGATGTACAAAATAAGGTGTCCTCTGGTCCCCCTACTGATGTACAATAAAAGGTGACCCCTTTTCCCCCACTGATGTACAATATAAGGTGTCCTCTGGTCCCCCTACAGATGTATAGTATAAGGTGTCCTCTGGTCCCCCTACTGATATACAAGAGAGGACCTCAGGTCCTTCTGCTGATGTACAATATAAGATGACCTCTGGTCCTACTACTAATGTAAAATATAAGGTGTCCTCTGGTCCCGCTACAGATGTACAGTACAATATTAGGTGACCACTAGTCCCCGTACAATATAAAGTGACCTCTGGTCCTTCTGCTGATGTACAATATACGATGACCTCTGGTTTTACTACTGATGTACAATATAAGGTGACCTCTGGTCTCTCTACTGATGTACAACAATAAGGTGACCAATAGTCCCCGTACTAATGTAAAATATCTGACCTCTGGTCCCCGTATATGTACAATATAAGGTGTCCACTCCCCCTACTGATGTATAAAAGTATATGCACAATATAAGGTATAAGGTCCTGGTCCCCTACTGATGTACAATATAAGGTGTCCTCTGGTCTAAAGTCTACTGATGTACAGTACAATATTAGGTTACCTGTAGTCCCCCTACTGATGTACAATATAGGGTGACCTCTGGTCCCCCAAATGATGTACGATATAAGGTATCCCCAGGTCCCCCTATTATGTGCAATAAAAGATTACCTTTGGACCCCTATTGATTTAAAATGTAAGGTGACCTATGATCACTCTGATGATGTACAATATAAGGTGACCACTGGTCTCCCTAATGATGTTAAATATAAGATGGCCTCTGGTACCCCTACTGATGTACAATGTAAAGTGATCTTTGGTCCCTCTATTGATGTACAATATGAGATTACCTCTGGTCACCCTTTATTACTTTCACGTTTCTGCTAATATATATATTAGAAAGTTGATCTTTATAAAGTTATAAATATGATTATTTTGGAGTAAGACAAAGAAAATTGTCTATCATATAAAATTCAATTAATATATAAGGTGACCTTAGGTCTCCGTATTGATATCGATAAATTTACTTTTGTGCCTTTAATGCCTGGAGAGTTCCTAGAATTTTTTATTACTACGCAAAATGACGAACTATTTGCGGATTTATTATATTTTTAATAATTTACTACTTTATAATATGTAGTATAGAGGTGATATCAGGTACCATGGAAGCATTCCCTGCCGACAGGTCATATCTGCAAATCATTTATATAATTTAGGAGTGCAACAATTTATGAAGCTAGCCAACACAGAATCATTCAGATCAATTGGTGCGTCACCATCAGACCCCTATGAGGAGTATTATCCTCCATGTAACGAGCTTCCATACCCTTCAGAGGAGTACTGGGTCTGTAGAATCAAGCACTATGCGTTCAACGTCTGGCATCCAACGTCTACATGTAGAATGGGGGCATTGGATGATCATACGGCTGTTTTTGATCCACAACTCAGGTTTAAAATTTTATTTAACTTTAAAAAAAAAAATAATATTTTGTTTAATTGTGAAAAATAAAGATTTATTTTAAAAATTTCAGATTCGTTGTCTATCAATCTTATATGAACTGAATTGAAGTCTGAGTTAAATTGAACTCGAAAGAATGAATATACATGTAACTCAAGAACATAATTAGGGTACATGTAATACTCGCAAAAATAAACTTAGATATATTCAGAATATATATATAGTTCAACAATCTGAAAATCGTTATATGGATTACTAATAAGCAATATAAATATCGTAAATTATTTAAACTATGGAAAAAGAGGATTTCTTTGTAATTTCTATTGTCATTACAGTTATTTATTTTCATTTTGACAGGGTTATAGGTATACAGAATCTTCGTATAGTCGATGCGTCTGTCATGCGCCACGTTACTTCTGGAAACACAAATGCTCCTACAATAATGATAGCAGAAAAAGCGGCAGATATGATTCGAGGAATAGATAGTGTTAAAGATATTCGTCAAAGAATTATCAATTTATAAATATTGATAAAAGATGAAGTGTTAATTTTCTTGGGAAGGTGGGCGTCATGCATGTGTTTACAAATTTCAAGGCAAGAAAACAGGAAAGATAAGATGTAGCATTCTTTTAATATCAACTTAAAGAGATTTACCTATTGGTCGAACTAGGGCATTTTAGAAATTTGAACAAAGTAAATTTGTTTATGATCTATCATAAGTTAAGATTCCTAATAGCCACATACCACTCGCTGCCAGTGGACATCCATTTCAATGGTAGGTTACAGAACAAATAAAACCTGGTATAGAAAATAAAAGAGAAAAAGTTCATTTGCAACTTATTTCATTTTTTCCTGAATAATACCATTATACCTATTGAAAGGTATTCTAAGAAACTTTGTAGTGCTAGATCTACTAAGCATGAATTTAAATTAATAACAGTGTTTTGCAAAAACCTATGACATCATAGGAGGATGGAAATACCTTAAAATACTTTACGATTAGAGTTAAATTTTTGTATGGAGAATCCTCTAGACAGTACAGGTTTGATATACAATCGATGTAAAAACTAGGCCTTTTAGATCAGTGTACATCAACTTGTGACAGTGACCAAACGTCTTATATATAGAATTGATGAAACATTAGTAGAGATGTGAAATATCTGACACCGTATCACATGTTAGATGTATAAAACTTCATATTTTTGTGCGATAGATTTAGGTAGATTTTAATGACTACTTACTTTATTGAAAGTTTTTTCCCCCACGTATCTTTTAATGTGGAATTAAATCAGGCCTATAGAGTTATTATAAGATGCTTTATAAAAGAATATCAATAGGTTCAGTTTCTTACCATGCACATCTATTAATTCCCTATTTGTGTTTTAGTTTAGGTTTCTTTATATTATAATTTCGTTTTCTAAATTCATAAATTAGTTTTCTTCATATGATAATTACGTATTTCTTAATTTGATAAATACGTTTTCTTTATTTCATAATTTCGTGTTTCTTCATATAATAATTTCGTTTTTCTCTGTTTAATAATTTTGTTTTTCTTAATTTGATAATTTCGTTTTGCTTATTTTTTTTTATTGAATCATTTGGTTTTTCTTTATTTATTTTTGGTGGCACTATTGGGCTTCCGTATCATTGACATACAAAGGTAACATGCAAGTTATAGGGGCTAATAGCTGTGTACATAATGATATATGAGATAGCAATATCCTGGGTATTATTTCAGCATTTTATTTTTTTTTTTTAAATTTTTTTTTCGGGGGGTTATGTTTGATCTGCAAATGATATATTTCATGTATGAGATTTAAAATACTGCAAAATTATAGTTGCATGGATGCAAAATAAGTTAACTTAGTGCTTGTAATTTATTTAGATTTGACTTTAGTTTATATGCATCTGATTTATGGGGAATCCTGTTAAAAATTTATTTAAATAAAAAGCTTTCTTTTGGGTTTTTAGTATGGGAATTAAGTCGCAGCTATTGCAGAAAATAATTAACATAACCCGGGGTTAGTTTTTTTTGCAACTGTCGACAAACCCAAAAAAAGCTTTTTTGTTTATATTTACATATGTTTAAAAAAATCATTCAAAGTAAAATGCATTTTTTTAACTTTTGTTTTAAAAA